AAAAAAAAAAAAAAAAAAAAAAAAAAAAAAAAAAAAAAAAAAAAAAACAAAAAAAAAAAACACACATCCTCATACACAGTCTGACACACACTAGAGCCAATCTTCGGACCTAGTCTATAGCTGTGGAAGTTATGTACCTTTGGAAGGTAGTTACAGCCAGGCAGAAGGACACCAGCCTGGGCTACATAGAGTTTTAGGCCAGCTCAGCTGCAGAATATTTGTGATAGCTTGAATGGATCCTTTAAACTTTTCTATTAGAAACTTAGTTCTCAAACATATTTTAGTGGCGTTTTTAGGTGAGTCCCTGAGAGATGACTGACTTCTGAGAACTGGGATTCCACCAGTTAATACATTCTATAGATTAATGAGTTAGCATGGGATTAACCTTTATATATATATATATATATATATATATATATATATATATATATATATATATATATATGCTAGCTTTCCATGACCTACTTGCTGTTTCATAGGATGAGACTGTCTGTCGTGTCTTGATACCAAATAGGGTCCTCATCAAACGCTAAGAAAATACTGGCAGCCTGCTTTGGGGGAGGCCAGTCTTCTGTGAGCTGAACAACTCTGTATTTTAAAAAGATGATGCTCTCAGTTCAATGTCTATATGTGTGTCTATATGTGTTTCCATGTGTCCGTGTGTGGGTATGTGCATGGGACTTCAAGTGTCCAAAGAGAACAGAGGCATCAGATCCTCTGTAACTGGAGGTAAAGGCAGTTGTGAGGCTGCCTGATATGGAATCAAACTCAAGTTTCCTGAGCCATCCCTCTAGTCCCTGACCCTCTGTTATTTTATCCATATTTCATATTTTTGAAAGTTGTAAATCATCTTAATGTTTTCCTATGATAGTAGAAATGAGTCTTTGATGATAAATAGAAATATTTACTGTAAATTGTATAGTTGAAGGCAGTATCTCATTTCGGACAGAATATAAAAGCAATGAACATTTCTGGCAATAACCTTAAAACCTACAAGTAAAATATCAGGAGCAAAAAAACAAAATCTCCCGTTCTGGAAATAGAACATTTTCTAGAATGAGTGATTTCTGCCAATATTGAAATATGAACGTAATCACGTTATTGTGGTTGTTGTTTTGAGATAAGCTCTCACTGTATAGCCCTGGCTAGCCCAAAACTATCTATGTAGACCAGGCAACTGACCATCTGAGTGCTCAGATTATAGGCACTAACCATCATACCTGTCTTGAATTTACTCTTGTTTCTAGGTCGTAAAACATGTCAGAGTAAAATCTGTCCAAAGATTCCTTGGCAAAAAGAATCTCACTTTCTCTAAGTGGAAAGCTTTAATTTTTCATTAAGGTTTCTGTTTGTTCTCCAAATAAATAAGCGGCAAGAGAGCATCACTGAGTTTTGACTTCAGGCAGTCCACAGCACCAAGCACCCTGAGGGGATATATTCCCAAATTCTCGATTTCTTATGTGGATTCTTTCAAACAAATATGTAAAATTCAAGCTAGGCTTGGTGGTGGATATCTGTATTCCTACAAGTGAGGGTTGAGGCAGGAGATCGGGAGTTCAAGGGCAGCCTGGGCCACACAATAATGAAACCCTGTTTCAAAAACACAGAAAGAAAATACACAAGCAGGAAAGATGTAACAGAGAATCTGTGTTTCTGAAAGGGATATCTGGGAGGAACAGTAAGGACTTGGCACTGCAAGTGAAAACAACCACTTGGCTCTGAGGACCTGGGGGCCGTGGAGTTTTGAAAGGCCATGTAAAGTGGGACAGCCCCTTGAATCTTATTAGGTCCTACAGGATTCAGACTGCTGAATTTAACTGTATTTCATTTTGAAGACATTATGCGTCAAATCACCGTATTGCTGGGCAAGGGACCAGAATGGAATTGGCCCATATGATCATGACAGAGGCAGCCAGCAAGGGCAGGGGACATCTGCTGGGGCTGTGTGTTGACTGACAAGTCAAAAAGTCCATCCACAGAGATTAGCAACAAAGCTTCTCCCACACAGGCCACTCGCACATCTGTAAGCATACGGGAGCGCTGAAAACGGTGAAGAATTTTAAGAGTCAGGAATAAATTTTTGCATGGAAGAATAAGAAGACACTGACAAGTTAAAGGTTTTGTTTTTTAAGGATTATAGTATTTTGTAAATGTTTACAGAGATTCTGGGCTCAAAGCTATCATTTTCACATGGTTTCTCCGGCATGTTACTGAAAATATGCTATGCAGGAATGATCTAGAGAACATTTGACTGCATCTACTTCTCCACCTCCATTATTCTTCCGTTGGAAGTGAATGCCAAGTAAATCCTCCACCATCTCTTCGTCTAGCTGAACGCCTTCTAAACCAGTCAGGAGCACTGTCTTCTTGGATACAGCTGAAAACAGCTAAGGGGGGAAAAATAATCAGCTTCTGAAGGAGACAAATTATTATAAGAGCTGAAAGAGAAGGCCAGAGGGAGACTCGAATTTGAGAAAGAGGACTGTGTGGCATTATGGAAATAAAGGGGGTGGGCAGCTCCAAGGACAGAAAGAACAGTCTGTGGGCAGTCAGAGGTGTGACTGGACCAGATGAAGGCTGGATGGATGTAAAAGATATAGACTAAGGGACACGTTGGCAGCAGGACGGTGAGTTTGAGGTTAAGTTACATGGCAGCCCTGACTCAAAAAAAAAAAAAACGTAAGTGAAGGGGAAGCTCAACCGTAGAGTGGTTACTCGAAGTGCTTACATGAAGGCCTGGATTCAGTGTTCGGTACTCCCCCAAATGTGTGTGTGTGTGCGTGTGTGTGTGTGCGTGTGTGTTGTAGTTTTCGGAAGGCATGTAGACAAAGTAGAACTGCCATTCAATATCTGAGGAGGAATAGGAAATGTGAGCAGGTTTAGAATGAAAGAGAGTAAGTGACGTTAAACAAAATACTGTCTGAAGCCCAGGGATTGACAGACACATGGAAAAAATATTGCCTAGTAAGTCTCTGTTTTCAAAAGAAGGATGAGTTTTATCATCTGAGTAATTGGGGAAGGGGTCATTGTTGTTCTGCATACTGGGATAGACTTTAGACGCTTGTATGTGTTAGAAGGGTCCTCTACTGCTAAGCTATAGGCCAAACCCCTCCCCCATGCCTTTTTTTTTTTTTTAACTTCTTATTTTGAGACAGGAGCCTAAGGTTGCCTGGGGTTATCTTTGAATTCTTTAGTCCAAGTAGGCATTGAACTAGAGATCCTCTTGACTCCGGCTCCTGAATAGCTGGGATTCTAAAAATGCATCACCAGGCCTAGCATCAGTTTTGAAAATAAGGCACAGCTTTGCGTTAATATGTTGTTTAAAAATACAAACCCATTCTGCAACCACCAAGCAAAACTGAAGTGAAGAAACTGTTTTGATAGCCTTCAGGGATAAGATGCATATCCCACACAGTTCATTCCGTGGTCACTGTGGGGTAGGGTGGAGCACTGCGCTGACAAGTGGAAAGAAGAGAGAGGTCTTTACCTGGTACTTTTCCAAGCGTCTCTCTGTATACGAAGAAACAGGAACCCTATAGCACTTTTGATTCATGTAAAGAGGATAGTCTTTCTTTTTCAAAATCTTGTCAGCAACTGAAAGTAAACAACAAAAAAGTGTTTTTCTTTAATATCATAAACATTTTGAACCATAATTAAAACTTCCCTCCAATGTGGTGCTATCAGAATAACAGTGAAATGAACAGCTAAGTTCTATGAAACTCTACAATCCATTTTGAAGACTTCACAGTAATGATTTTGAAAAAATAAAATAAAATACAAGACTACCCAGCAAGGAAGCTGAATCTTCTGCCTTGAACAGTCAACTATGAAAGGAATAAATGTTCCATGAATCCACATGTAACATTTTTGTAGACGCAAAAGACCAGAGGATCCCAAGGACTGAAAGAGGAAGTCGACAGGAATTATCATTTAATCGGTGGAGTTTCTTCTTCAAGTGATAAAACACTCCGATAGCGGTGTTGGTGGCACAATATTGTGAACACCTTTACTGAACGCCACTAGCTCGTACACATTTCTTCGATTAACTTTGTGTGCATGTCACCATGTACATGAAGTCAGAGAAGTGGGAGATGGTTATCTCTATCTACCATGTTGGTTCCAGAACTGATCACAGGTTGACAGGCCTGACAGGAGACACTCATCAGCTGAGCCATCTTGCAGTCTGTAAACACTACAATTGAAGGGTTTCAAGTGGTAGGTGGAGGCAAGAGAAGAGGAGAGAGCAGAGAGCAGAGAGGAAAGAGCCTCAATAGGCCTGCCTCAGACCCACTTGCACTGGTTATGACCTGTGTGACTTTGGCTGTCTCACTTGACTTGATTCTGAGTCCTTTCCTGAGAAAGGCAAGTAGTCACAGCACCTACCTGGTTACGGTAAGGCCATAAGACACTGTTTATGAAGCGACCAAGTGTATCTACCTTCAGAAAACTTTATACTCTTCTAGAATTACCCAAAACTGTAACATTTGTCTGGACACCACCTCTAGGAAGGACTCCCCAGAGGAGAGAATAAACGTGTTTCCAAGCTAACAGAGTGTCAAACTGCAATGTGATGTATAGCGGAGTTACTCCTGGATGTTTCTAAATACAAGGAGCAAATAGCATCAATCAGAGAAATTACACTTACAGAACTGGAAAACCTAAATCTGGATCCTTGACTAGGAAAATTCCACTAAGTTTCTCTTCATTTCAAAGGCAATATTTAAGCCTGCCCTGAAGACACCTAAACTTTAGGCTTCTCACTATGACACACCCATAATGAGTTCATAAGCATTACTCAAAGACACAGGTCAAAAATGCGCAGTGGTGGGCTTTCACGTGCCCAGAGAAAGGCCTGAAAATATCCCCTACTAATCAGAACTACTTATACACCAGAAGAAAGGGAATTTTGAGGAGACAATACTTCACTGTTACAATTTCTTTTTTAAAACACATACGACTTTTGCCCTGCTCTACCAGAGGCCATGCTAGTACTAAGAACCTCAAGCAAGACACCTCCAAAAGATTCCAACACTTCGACAAGGCCTACCCAGCCTTCCCCCAATAACCCCCTTCATGGCCATATCCCAGCCCACAACTCCAGCTGAAGGCCCCTGCTCTACCAGAGGCCACATTGACATCTAGAACCTCAGAGGCCATGCCAGCACCCAAAACCCCAGCAGAGGCACCCTACTCAACCAGAGGACTTACAAGCCACCAGAACTACAAGCCACTCAGGGCAGAAGGCCAGAGAAGAAACACCCATCCAACAAAGACAAAATCACAGATTGATACCTACATCCACAAACCCGATGCCTAGAGGCCAGCATAAAAACACAATCAACAACAGCCAAGGCGATATGAGCTATCCATCAGAGCCCAGCTATCCTACTACAGCAAGCCCTGAATATTCTAACACAGCTGAAGCATAATACAAAAAGAACTTAAAACCAACTTTATGAAGATGACAGAGATCCTTAAAAAGGAAATGAATAAACCCCTTTTTTAAAAATCCAGAAAAACAAACAAAAACAAAATCCAGAAAAACACAAACAATTGGAGGAAATGGATAAATCCCTTAAAGAAAGCAAAGAAAAAAAAAAACAAACAAACAGGTGAAGGAAATGAATAAAACTGTTACAGATAAAATGGAAATAGAAGCAATAAAGAAAACACAAACTGAGGGAATCGTGGAGAAGAAAAATCTAGGTAAGTGAACATAAACTACATACACAAGCATCACCAACAAAATACAAGAATGGAAGAGGGAATCTCAGGCATTGAAGATACAATAGGAGAAATTGATACATCTGTCAAAAAAATGTTAAATCTGAAAAATTCCTGACACAAAACATCTGGGAAATCTGGGACACTATGAAAAAAAAAAATCTAAGAATAATAGAAATAGAAGAAGGAGAAATTAAAATTATGACCTATGTTAAAAAAAAAAAAGAGAAATGCAAATTAATGCAAGTGATAGGATTGCTCAGTTGTTTCCCTACAGTAAAGGAAAAGCTACTCCAGTAGAAAGAACAGGAAGGTTTGGAAGTACTGAAAAATGTGTGTTCTGACAAACAGTGGTTAATGATCAGAAGCCAAAATTAAATTGCAACTAAATGGTGTTAAAATAGAAGGTTTTGTGGATACAAGAGATGACGTGACTATCATTTCCCAAAAATCTTGGAATTCAGAATTGCCATTTTAAAAGGTTTATACAAAGTTTTTAGGAACTGGAAAATTATTTCAAATAAAACAAAAGTATTCAATGGCTTAGTGTTGGGACCAGAAGGTCAAACAGGATAGTTAAGACCTTATGTGGCTGAGATACCCATAAATTTATGGTGAAGTGATCTTTTACAACAAAGGGGCACTCAGATTCATAGTCCTGCAATTCCAGACAGTTCAGTGAAGGGTGAAATGGTAGATGATCCTGGGAAAGGTATTGCTATACATCATCAAAAACAACTTCAGGGTGTGCCAATTGTCTAAACATAGGATACCCCAGGGATTGAATTTCCAAATTCATAAGAGGGGCCACTGCTGAAACACCAATGGCCCAACCCCTACAATGGTCGAGTTGAGCAATTGACTTTAAGAAAAAATTGCAGGCACTTGTGCAGCTGGTACAAGAGCAGCTGGAAGCTCAACATATAGAACAGTCTACCAGCCAGTCTACCATTTGTTATTAAAAGACAAAGAAATAAAACAGGAAAATGGAGGATGTTAACAGACTTAAGATTGAATAGAGTAATTCAACCAATGGGTCTGTTACAGCCTGGAATTCCTTCACTTTTTTTGTTACTTAAGTCATGGCCTATGATTGTAATTGATTTTAAAAGATTGATTTTTCATAATCCCCTTCTATGAGCAGGATAGGAAAAGGTTTGCTTTCTTGGGAGCTACTTATAATAATGGTGGACCAGTAAAAAGATATCATTGAAAAGTTCTTTTATAGGAACTGTTAAATAGTCTGACTTTATGTTACTATTTTGTACAACTGCTAAAAATAATTTTAGGAAATTTCTTCAATCTATTATTTGTTATTACATGGATGATATTTTGTTGGTTGATTCTGATGCAAATACTTTACAGAAAATGTTTAAAGAAACAAAAAATTCTGCCATGCTGGGAGTTACAGCATGCTCCTGAAAAAAAAATACAGAGAAAAGATTTTATTATCTATTTGGGTTTTAAAATAAGTCACAAAAAAATTCAACCACAAAAGATCCATATCCAAAGAGACCAGTTGCAAACTCCTTATGAGTTTCAAAAATTAATGGATGATATTGATTGGCTATGGTCTATTATTAGATTAATCACTCATGAGTTAAGTAATTTGTTTTAAACATTAAAGGAAGATTCAGATTTAAACAGTCTAAGATGTCTAACAGCTGAAGCAGAGAGACAGTTAACTCTGGTAGAAGAGAGGCTGTGAGATGCAGTGGATTCAATAGATCCTAAACTAGATTGTATTTTGGTTATTTTGCTTTCAACTTATTTTCCTACAGGGCTCATTATACAAAGAGAAGATAGCATTATGGAATGGACTTTCTTAGCACACAAATCAAGTAAATAAATTAAAGACTTACATAGAAAGGGTTTCTGATTTAATCATAAAAGGTAGAATAAGACTACACAAATTGTCAGGAACAGACCCAGGTGAAATTGTAGTACCTTACATTAATGCTGAGATTATGTCATCAAGGGTAATCAATGAAGAATGGCAAAGAGCTTGTACTAACTATTCAAGAGAAATTAACAAAAAAATGTCCTAAAAGCAAGAGTCTTCAGTTTATAGAATAATAATAATAATAATAATAATAATAATAATAGGATATTCCCACATATTGAAAAAAGATCTAGTTATACTTTAAAAGTAATGCTTACAAAACAAAAAGGAAGAGCAAAGACCTCCAGGGATAGGCTAAGTAATACTTTATTAACTTAAGATTTTCTGAATGGTAATAAAAAGGAAAAATAGCAGCCAAAAGACACTGCATTATAAAAAATAAAAACCCTGTGTAATTAAATCAACCTATATTATAAGGATGTGCTAATATCAGAATGGTATAGTTTTGCATTGGGAACATGGTTTTGTTTATGTTTCCATGGGAATGAAAAACTGTGGCTAGCATCAAAACTAATATAAAGAGTAGAATTAGGGAGGAGAGGTCTCCTGAAAACCTTGACCACTGATCCAAAAAAGCATTTAGTTCATTGAAAATGTCTGTGTTTATAATTTCTCACTAAACACAGTACAATTAATGGCTTAAAACAGAAAGGGGGGAATGTAGTGATAATTTTTATTTCTTTGTTTCTTTGTTTTTGGTTTAACACAGACATGTTATGTGAATATGTTTTTTATTTAATCCCAGGTGTGGGATGTGAGGCTCCATCAGAATGTCCACAGCAGCTGACTATGATTTGCCTAGTGCTCTAGCAGGGCATGATTTTGCCAGCGAGGAGAGTTTACATTTGGAATTCTAGGGACTTTTCAGAGGGTATAAAGATGCTAAAGCTTGAAAAGGCAGGGCAGCTACTGTTGCCATTGCTGCCCCTGCTGCGCCTGCTGCTGTGGCTGTTTGCTATTTGCTTCTGTTGCTGGTTACTTCTTGATTGCTGGTTAGAAATATCCAGATGATGAAGATCAAGCTCACCCCAGTGAATCTGATGCCCCTATCCAGGAGGAAGTAGTCTAACAATATCAGCACCCCTTATCCCTCTAACCTTCTTTCTCTCCTATCTAGTGTTGGAGGGTTGTAATGGATAGGGGTGGTGTAGGAAGGTAGGAAAAAAGAACTCAATAAAGTAGCCAAAAGTAGAACTACATATGGCACCTGATTTTTGATAAAAAAAAAAAAAAAAAAAAAGCCAGAAGCACACAATGGAAAAAAAAGAAAGCATCTTTAGCAAATAGTGCTGGTCTAACTGAATGTGAGTATACAGAAGGATGCTAATAGACCCATATCTATCACCTACACAAAACTCAAGTCTAAGACCTCAACATAAAACCGGATACACTGAACCTAACAGAAGAGAAAGTGGGGAATGGCCTTGAACTCGTTGGTACAGGAGACACATCCTGACAAAATGTCAATAGCACAGGCACTAAACAACAATCAATAAATGGGACCTCATAAAAGTGAAAAACTTCTGTAAGGCAAAAGATACTGTCAATAGAACAAAATATCAGCTTAAATATTGGGAAAAGATCTTCACCAACCCTATATCCAACAGAGGACTAATATCCAAAATATAAAAAGAGCTCAAGAAACTAGCTATCAACAAACCAAATAACCCAATTAAAAAATGGGAAATTGATCTAAACAGACTTCTCAAGAGAATGACATCGTGAATTTGCAGGCAAATGGATAGAACTAGAAAAAAAAAATCTTCCTGAGTGAGGTAATCCAGACCCAGAAAGACAAAGATGATATGTACTCATGTATGAGTGGATATTAGCTATTAAGTAAAGGACAATCATGCTACAACCTGCAGACCCAAAGAGGCTAAGAAACAAGAGGGCTCAAGGGAGGATGTATGGATTTCCCTGGGAGTAGGAAATGTACTGGAAATAATGACTGGAATAGGGACATTTGGGAGGCGATGTAAAAACCTAGTGCAGCAGAAACTCACTGGAATCTCTGAGCGTGACCCCAGTGAAGACTCCCAGAAATGGGGGATACAGAGCCTAATCTGGTCATCTTTTATAACCAGGCACGGTTCCTAGCAGTGGGACTGGGACATCAACCCAGCCACAAAACCTTCCATCTATAAACTGTCCTGCCTGTAAGACAGGCTGGGGCAAAGATGGAACAGTACTTGTTGGAATGGCCAACCCCTGACTGGTCCAAGCTGTGGCCCACACCATGAGGAGAAGATCATGCCTGACACTGCCTGGATGACTAGGAACCAGAGGCAGAACAGCTCAGAGACCTAGGATAGAACCAAACATGACTGGAAAAAAAAAAAAAGTCAAAGAAATGATTCCTAATGATATTCTGATATACTCAGAACAGTGCCTAGCCCAATTGTCATCAGAAGGGAGTCATCCAGCAATCAGTGGGAGCAGATGCAGAGACCCACAGCTAAACAATAGGCAGATCCTGGGGAACCCCACAGAAGACAGGGGAGGAACTATTGTAGAAGCCAGAAGGGTCAAGGACACCTCAAGAACACAGCTCACAGAATCAATTAAGCAGGGTTCATATAGGCTCACAGAAACGGAAACAACAAACACAGACCCTGAATGGGTCTGAGATAGATCCTCTGAAAATTCCTTGTGGGACTCCCAAAAACAGGAGCAGGGGAATATCTCTGACTCTTTTGCCTGCTCTTGGGACCCTTTCCATCCTATTGGCCAATTCCAAGCCCAGATGTGATATGACAATTTGTGCCCAGTATTATTGTATCTTATTAGGCCATGTTGTTCAGTGGATATACCTGGAAGGCCAGCTCTTTTTATTTTTTAAGGGAACCAGAGGAGGAGTTGATCTAGGGGAAAGGAGTGGTTGGGAGAGAGACTGGCAAGAGTGGAGAGAGGAGAAACTGAGGTCAGGAAGTAATGTATGAGAAAAGAATAAAAGTTATTTAATAAAAAAATTTACTTTCTTGAAAAAAGTCTAATCAGTCCATGTTTTAATGGCAGAGCAGGATTTCCATTACTTGTAAACTCAGGAAAAGCCCTATAACTATACTGATGAGAATAGCAGAGGTATATACCAAGAATCAGAAAAAAAAAATTACTCTATTGCACACCCACTGTGTGATTTTAGAGATGTTAGTTGTCTTCTCTAGACCTCTGCCTCCTATTAGTGACCTGAATGTGTCACCTATGTCAGTTATGGTAAGAATAAATTGTGATGATTAAAAAAAAGATAATGCAGACATCCACTGTACTGCCCCACATGTGAGCTCTACTACAATTCATTTAATTGCTATTTGTAATTGTGACATGCTCAGGAGCGTTTAGGAAATTGTTTCCTGAATTCTGTTTCTTTTTTTAATTAATTCTTATTTATTACAATTCATTCACTTTGTATCCCAGCTGCAGCCCCCTCCTTTGTCTCCTCCCAATCCTGCCCTCCCTCCCTCTTCTCCTCCCATGCCCTTCCCCCAGTCCACTGATAGGGAAGGTACTCCTTCCTTTCCATTTGATCCTAGCCTATCATCAGGATTGGCTGCATTGTCTTCCTCTGTGGCCTGGTAAGGCTGCCCCCCCCAACTCCCCCCTCAGGGGGAAGTGATCAAAGAGCCAGTCACTGAGTTCATGTCAGAGACAGTCCCTGTTCCTCTTACTAGGAAACCCACTTGGATATTGAGCTGCCATGGGCTACATCTGTGCAGGGATTCAAGGTTATCTCCATGCATGGTCCTTGAAGTATAACTCTCAGAAAAGACCCCTGTGCCAGTTTTTTTGTTTTGTTTTTGTTTTTGTTTTTGTTTTTGTTTTTGTTTGGTTCTGTTGTTCTCCTTGTGGAGTTCTTGTCCCCTCCAGTTCTTTCTATCTCCCCATTCTTTCATAAGATTCCCTGTATTCTGCCCAAAATTTGGCTATGAGTCTCAGCATCTGCTTTGAATACCCTGCTGGATAGAGTCTTTATGGGTCACAATGAAAGCAGTATTAAGAGAGAAGTTCATAGCAGTAAGTACCTTCAGAAAGAAGTTTGAGACATCTCATGTACAAACAACTTAACAGTACACCTAAAAGCCCTAGAAAAAAAGAAGCAGACACACCCAAGAGGACTAGACCATTGGAAATAATCAAACTCAGAGATGAATTCAATAAATTAGAAACAAAGAAAACAATTCAAAGAATCAATGAAACCAACAGCTGGTTCTTTGAGAAAATCAACAAGATAGACAAACCCTTAGCCAAACTAACTAAAAGGCAGAGAGAAACTATCCATATCAGCAAGATCAGAAGCGAAAAGGGGGGACATAATGACAGACACTGAGGAAATCTTTTTTTTTTTTTTTTAAATAAGAGTAAGAAAACCCCAGCTGAGCAAAATGGCTCAACAGGTAAAGGTTCTTGCTGCCAAAACCAACAACCTGAGTTCAATTCCCAATATCCTTGTGCTGGAGTGAAAGAACCAACTAGTGCAAGCTGTCCTCTGACCTCCACACTAGTGCCACGACATGCACACAAGGGCCTATACACATACTTGTGCGTGTTAAAGAAAGAAAGAATTCTACGAAAATAAAAATGTCAATAGTGTTCAAAAAAAGAAAACTCCCCCTAATCATGCTAATACATTCCAAATATACAAACAGGCAGGAATAGTGCGATGGTGGGCTGTTTGGGTACCTCCAGCTTCCACAAACGTGATGACAGCACTTCCGGACCTCTTGTCATAGTGCACACTTTCCACTTCTCCACCTCCGTTCCTGGACTTACAGAAGCTCAGCTCCAGTTTGTCCCTCGTCTGCTCCTCAGACAGTTCACTGGGAATTCCCGTAACACTGATCTTCATTTTAGAAATGTCTACACGAATCTGGAAGAGCATTTCATAGTCACAAGGACAGGTGAGGAAAAAAAATGCCTGTGTCCAACGGAACGGCCAAGGCTTTCCTGGCTGTCTCACCTGGAATCTGACCCCTGTATCGAGTGGGACTGGATGGGCGGTGACCTCCACAGCGGTACCTTCCATCTGCACGACATGCTTCCCCATCATTATCACATTCTGTGCAACTGAAACATAGCAGTAGACATTCACGGTACCCTGAGAAAACTTTATGCTTTCTATTCAAGGATAAGTTATTGTCTTTTTCATATCCTTCTATTTTGTTTGTATTACATTTATCTGTGTGTGTGTGTGTGTGTGTGTCTGTGTGTGTTCTTTTGAGGGGCTCTGTAACATGACTACAATAAAACCGGTAGAGGGTCTAAGAGTGCCACACTCGCTTAAAATGTACATGGGTAGGTGTTTATTCTTAATTGTGTGCTGTAGCTTTTTATGACACTCCAGCTGTTGACATGTGGAGCCTCTTACACCAATTCATCAAGACGATGAGAGACGTCTGCTTCCTTTCTTGTAAACGTTGTGTGTGTTTATGACAACCAGGGAGCACACCATAGGCTGAGGGAGAAACGAAGCTGGAGGGAAGGGCGTTGTTGGGTGGGAATTCAGGCTCACCCTACCACGATATGACTCTAGAATTTAGATGTTTTGTTTTGTTTTGCTAATGGCAACAGATGACAATAACAGAAAACATCACTGAGGTAATTCTCAGATGATCCTCTCGTTAGCCCCAACCCCCTAACATCTGGTGATCTGGCTCAGCAGAGAGGGGCCACTTATATCCCAACTTTAGTGACTATTACTGTCAGAGCCACTCCTGTTTGCCTCTGTTCCCCCAGAGCTGCTCCTGGCATGGGGACTTCAGGACCACATGCATGGAGCAAGCAGCATCAAGGCTGCTCCTAAAGTGACTTACACTCCCAGCAAGCCCCAGGACTGCCATGCAGAAACCTGCTTCCACATCCTCCCTTCTATCCGCTAGTAACATCCCAGTCACTGCCCATCCCCAGCAAAGCTTCCCCTCAACGGTGGTTCCCAGGGAAACAAAATTACCCTGTGGATGGAGGCCTCATCTCTGCTTGTCACGACCTTCTCTGTATGCTTCCATTTAACATTTATTTCCAGGCCAGTGTGATGGGCCAGATGCCAGAAGACACAGGTTTAAATCACAGATACAAATAATCTAATCCTGAAAGGACCCTGGAGACCAGGCGGGCCCATCCTGGAGCTCTGAGGTAGCAGAATATTAGTGGCCTGCCCTCAGGAATGTCAGCCCAGTAGAAAGTGAGCAGGCACTTAGGATAACCTCTCAGCTCTGGAGTTCAGCAATGGAAGCTCTTCTACGGGCTTCCGTTTCCTTATCCGGAAAACCCTCACACACAGCAACAATGACAAGCCAACACCTGTGTGTTGGCTGTGTGCAATACACATTTCGTTTCATACACCAACAGCTCGTGAAGTCAGGATATCACAAAGCCTGTCATCAAAATCTGAGGCTTACAAAGAACTAAGACCAGGCCTTCACGAGAAGACAACGCTGGCACTCAGAGCCAAAGCCTTCTCATGAGAAGGGGCAAGCCTTGAAGAGGCCCATACTTCTTTGAATTTGGCCAGCATCAGGTCCCATCCAAACCTCTCATCCCTGGGCTCAGTCTTACCAACAGCTAACTGATTTACTAAATCGCTTAAACATCCCCAGAATCTGTTTTCTTTCTAATCAAGTACATATAATCCTTATTTTTGTGGTTCTATAGAATTATAGAATTGTACAAGGATGAAGTGAGATGTCTCAAGGAACATCCAGAGGAAGTACAGAGTCTGCCATTATGGTACTTTCAAATTTCATTTATTTATTTGTTTGTTTGTTTGTTTGTTTGTTTGTTTGTATTTGCAATAGGGTCTCACTATGTAGTCCTGGCTGGCCTGGCTAACCTCAAACTCACAGAGAGAGGTCTGCTCCTGCCTTTTTACTGCTATGATAGAAGCTGTGCACCACCATGCCTGGCAAGTTCTACTTCTTTATAATATTATTATAATGTTCTAATATGCCTATTATCATTTAAGGGGCATATGGACTAGAAAGAGGCTGACACTGGATATCCCGACTCCTATATTTTATTCCCAGAGTCATTACTTTTTGAATGTGTGATAAACACGTAAACTTTAGTATCACTGCACACACGCCATTGCCAACACTCCACATTATTATATGATAATGACATATATTATACATGTTTCCTCATTACATAGGATAGGTAACATACCCAACACGTCTAATATGTTTGGCCTCCTTCTATGTAAACTGTGACTATCACATCTGCCTCAGAACACCATCACTCTAGGGACAAGAAGACACAGCAAACACTTTACGCACTGTAAAGTGATAGCCAAACTTTGAAGGCCCAGGTGCTTGCAAAAGTGACACAGCCATACCTTCTTCCTTGTCAAAGGTGATGAGTGCTTGTCCTTTCTGTAGCTCATAAGTAATTTGTGAGCTCACTTGAAATGAACAGGAGCTATTTGAGAACTGGCCGCCATCCTTGGGACTCTCCACTGAAGTGAATTTAAGCTTTTTTTCTGGTATGTTCTCTTTAATCTAATTAAAACAGATGTGTTTGATTAAAATAAGAACAAGAGATAACTTATGCCCCCCCCCAATGACACTACAATCTAGTTATCCAATAATTTGTTTTCCGTTGACTTTAGAGCTTCACAGGATATTGACTGTGGCCTTACTTGACATCTATAGTAATTGTTTGTTCCCATGTAACTTCTCAGTAAGGTAATCAAATGCTGATTCTTTAATGTCATTTTATAGATGAAATCATAAGCATATAATCCTCTCACTTTCCCTGAGCAACGTTTAAGCCAATCAATACTGTACAGTGTCCAATTCCAAAGTCCCCTCAGTTTATATAAACAAGTACTTTTTAAATAACCATGCCAGTAATGCACAATCTCAGAAGGAAATTGTTAAAAATGACGTTTGGCTCCATGGCCAGGAGGCAGGACACGTGAGCGAAGTTTGAAACTGTGTATACGGTGGGTCTTTTTTCATTCGTTCAGTTCCATGAATGCATGCATGCAATTAATTTTAGTATTTTTCACCCACTCCCCTTTCTCATTTCACTTCCCCCTACTGATGAAATCTTTTCCTCAATCCAGCAAGTCTTCTTCCTTCACATCTTGTGGTGATCCCTGAGTCTGATTAGTTTCTTGCGTGAGCAGGGGTCGGAGGCCATTTACCGGAACAAAGCAGTTTATCAGTGGCTACACCACTGAGGAAAATGGTACACCCTTCCCCGCCAACCATTATCAGACGGTTTGCTTTCAGGCCCTATACGTAGTGAAATGTTGACTACCCAGTCTTGTGAAGATAGCCACGTCAAGTTCATGATGGCCATGTCATGTCCAGAAGACATCTTTTGACGGTTTATATCCCATCCTCTGGCTCTTACATTTTTTTCCCACTCTTTCTTTAACAATGTTCCTTGAGCCTGGAGCAGGTAAGATAGATGTTCCATTTAGGACCAAGGACTCTATACTACGGGTAATTTTTTTTTTATGGCAAACTCAGATAACTTCATTTTTTGAAAGACTCATGAACTATATGATGTGAAAATTGCCAAAATTTAATTCCAACTTTCCCCAAATCTCCCAAGAATTTTTTTTGGGTTTTTTTTTTTTTTTTTTTTTTTTTAGGGGGTTGGGGAGAGGGCAGGATGTATGTAGCCCAAGCTGTCCTTGAGCTCAGGATTCTCCTAACCTCAGCCTCCTCGGTGCTAAGATTGCTGATATGGGCAAGTCACCATATCTAATCTACCCAACAACTCTTTAATCCTGAAGCAAACACTGTCAAAAGGAATTGTAGCTGACAAAAGAAAAGTGGGTAGTTATACTTACCTGTTTAAAAATCATAGATATCAACAAATGTATAACTGTGCATAAATGTTTGGTTATTTTACACACTGAAAAAAAATGTGTTATCAGAAAGAACCTGCACGTGCTCAGTGGATCTGTGGATGATCCTTCACACTTATGGCACCTTCACAAGGAATCAGTAGGGTTCCAGTTACAGTAGGCTAAAGTCAAAACAATCTTGCAAACCTGCAGAAAGGCGGAGTGTTTTCCAATCAAGTGGAAACACACAATATTCACACCTCCTGATGCCAAGCATTTTCCAGGGTTAGAGAAAGCCAAAACTGTACCCCACTTTGGGTCTTCTGTAAAGTGGGCCCACTAGTCTGGCAGGTTTCCCAAGGCCTTTTGATCCAGCTGGAGCCAGACAAGTAACCAAATCCTAACAGTCTTGTGCCTCCTGACCCATCTCATCACTACAGGACATCCTATCTCCCTGAAACAAAACTAGTAAGAGTTTCATGCTGCAACAACCTGGCTTGTCAAGAAGAAGCAAGGGTAAAAACTTGTTAGACAATTCAAATGCAGGAAAATTTAGGAGAGACTTTAAATGATACAGATTAATATATGCATGCCTGACTTGTTTGCTCTGAGACAAGGTCTTATGGTACATCCCTGGCTGGCCTGGAGCTTGCTGTTGAGACCAGGCTAGCCTCCCACAGGAATCCCCCTAACTCAGTCTCCTGCGTACTAGGATTAAAGCTGTGTCCCTCTGTCCAGACTGTGCCAAACTGTGAAATTCATTTAAATTACTCAAGCACTTTAGATGACGACATAAGCGCAATCAGTGAGAAGACTAAATGTTTAGTCCAAAAGTAATCTGCAAAAAGCAAGGCTCTGTTTTTTTAATTCATAATATAAGATAACATATTATTAAGTATACTATTCATATTACTATTGATAAAATATTGATTTTGTTATCTATAATTATATTAATATAATTATTTATAAGTAACTTCAATTAATTCTTTAAAACTAATTTTATTCATTTTTTAAAGTTTTATCATATTGACCATAGGTAGCAAGAAAAAATACACATCACAAGTATAACCCGTGAAGAGATCATATGAAGCTAATATGCAGACAATAAATAAAACCACCGGAGTCCTCCTGGTTTCCCAAGGGTCTCCACTGCCTCTACAGTGACCACTGTATTAATCAGAACATGCTTTATTTAAATGGGAGCACATAGTATGCCCTTTTTTGCCTCTCATGTATTGATGTCATGTTTATTACAGTCATCCATGTTGTATACAATTGTTCATTCTCATTGTGGTGTAGAATTTAATTGCACGCCTATACAGTAAATTACTAGTTCATGCTACTCTTCATTTGGGGCTATTCCGTACAGTGGTCCGAGCCAGGCATGATGATGCACCCCTTTATTCCAGTACACAAAAAGCAGAAACAGGTCATCTCTGTAAGCTTGAGGCCAGCACGGTCTACAGAATGAGTTCAAGGCCAGCCAGGGTTGGTCTTAAAAACAAATACAAATATTGGTGTTGTGTGGCTAATATGTTTTAAAGTGAATCCTGTATAACTAAATCACTTTTTCTGAAAAGTACATGTCCATTAAAATATATATATAAAATAACCACAGTACTTGGAACTCTCTGGCATCCTCGTGTAATTCAGCTTCAAGTTTTCTGATCATCTCCTCTAGCTCTTTGTTTTCCCCCATAATTTCATGAATTAATCCCTAAAAAAAAAAAAAAAAATCAAATTAATTGAAAAAAATTAAACGTTTGAGCTCCTTTTTCTAAATTAATTAATGATGGAAATCCCCCAACCCTAAACGTAGGCATCCTTAGGACACTCTCAGAATAAATGTGCCCCAATTAGTGGTGCATTTGCTTACCATCTTATTCCATCACCCAATGGTTCTTCTATTCTTACCAAGTTTTTTAGCTCTATTATACGAGCAAAGAAACTGATAGTCTTCCGTATTAGACACAGAAATTTTTATAATTAAGGCAAGGAATGAGAGTCAGGCCTTCTGGCCTTAGATGACTTTTATTCGTACTCTACTCATGGCACATTATACTGAGGCAAAAGGATTTGTTTTGTTTTTTTTTTTTTTTTGTTTTGTTTTTGTTTTGTCATTTGTATTATTTTTGTTTGGAGGAAGTATTTATTTATTTATTTTGGTGTTTGTTTGTTTGTTTATCAGCAATGATTCGGATAGAAGCCAGCTGCTTTGACAAGCCAAACATAAGCTTTGTTAACAGGTCTGAGAGCCTAGGCCTCTGTTCCCACTTGGGTCTCATTAGGTAATTGCTCACACTCCACTTCCTGGCATAAACCCAGAAAAGAAGGAGGTGAAAAAACACTTAATTTTGTAAGAAAAGATAGAGGAACAACTCTCAGTGTAAAGCTTTCCCAATACAGTAAATGTAACAATAGCCTTCTGCTGCCAAAGACAAAGCGCACCTTACTTAAAAACGAACAGACACAAATCATTCTTAAAAGCACCTACTAATTTCCCTTTTTACCTTGTGTTGTTCACATGTCATAGTGTCTTTCTCTTGTGAGCACTCTCTCCACGCTTGCTTTGTGTTGCCTTTATCATCATCCATGATTCTCTAATAAAAAAGGGAGGGCTTTTAAAATAGCATACTACACAAATGCAAGAAAAAAGAAATAACATGGGGGAAAAAGTGTCTTTTCCCCTGTCATCAAAGTCTTGACAAATGTCACCTGTAATTTGAACACCTTCACATCTCTAATTGTATAGGAGGGAGCAGAGTAAAGGCGCTGCTGACATGACCACTCCATCGTATGATCAACGTTTTTTTGTTGTGAATAAGAGAGAGAAAATATCTAGAGGCACTGGGAAGAGTCCAAAGCAGAGAGAGAAAAAAGTAGACTGAACAGAGTCAGCAGACTGGACATTGCCAGGGCTATCTGTGAGAGAGCAGGGGACAGCGAATTTAAAAAGCATAGTGAGAATAGCAAGATGATCATAGAGAAAACTTAGTGAGAATAGCAAGGGTGGTAAGGAGGGTGAGTAGCTTCAGGGAGAGAAGGGCCAGGAGACTGGGTGGGGGTGGGGGGGCTTTGTGAGTAGGGACTAAGGGAGCCTGGAGGTCTGCATGGACCTTGATATGCTGACAGGTGCCATAGGTATATGGCAATTGGAGAGCCATCCCTTTTGCCCGAGGTAAGGGGAGTAAATGACTCCTTTGGCAGACAGGACAGGCTAAGGAATGCTGACTTTTGTCTAACAGCAAGCAATCCTTCTATAGTCCACGCTGCACTCACATCTGGATATTTGGACTTCCTTTTGGAGTTTGGACAATTGGAGTTTCCTTTGAACCTGACACTAATATATGTTTTAAAGGTTAAAAAAATAAATAAATGAACTTTGTCTTCAACTCAAGGATACACAGAAAAAAAAAAAACAATGGGGGTGAGGCTACAGCTGGGATACAAAGTGAATAAATTATAATAAATAAAAAATTATATTAAAAAAGGAAAAATAAAAGAATGGGTGTTAACAGTCCTTGAAATTCGCATCCCAATCATAAAGTTTCAAAGACTGCCATTTTGATCATCCAAACTTCTTGGTTAAATACTTAATTCGCCTTATTCTGCTTCCAAAAGTAAAAATAGCAGAATCTTCTGATGTGCATTTTATCTACAGGCAGCTTCACTTGGCTTCCCACCAACTCTCCCCCTGGGTCAGTAAACCTGGATTGGAAAAAAAAAAAAAGTCCCTCACTTTTAATAAATCCCTAGATGAACTTTTCTCCTTAATGAGAAAAACACATTAACTACCACAATACCCACACACCACCTTTGACAGAGTCATCAGCACGCAGCACAAGGGTTTCAGCAGCTTATGTCATTACACATATGCTGAGGTGGCTTAGAGGATAGACACTTTCGACCAAGCCAGACAACCTGAGTTCCATCTCTGGAACCCCCTGTGGTGCCTACACATGCACAACACACACACACACACCACCACCACCACCACCACCATACCACACCACACACCACACAAAAGAAATAAGAACATGTAATAAAAAATAAATTAAATGATTGCTTAAGGATTCTGGCATCAGCATTTCAGTATAAGTGGTCTCTCTTGTAGTTCTAAACATCTATATGTTTATTCACTCATGAAGGAATGTTTACAGGAATGCTTGAAAGAACGTTAAAGGAAGGCTTACAAAGTTCACCTGTCTGGCAAAAGGAGTCAAATGAAACACAAAAGATGAAGAAGACCTGCCTGCACATTAAGTTAATTAAAAGGGAAGATCCCAGATCAAAATAGTTTCAGATGCACAGTAAAAACCTGGAAGCAATATACTTTTCAAAGACTGAGTGGTTAAATTCTCCACATTCTTGTAAAAGAAACGGAAAAATCACTGGGAGTGGTGACATATGCCTTTAATCCCAACACTCTCCGGGAGGCAGAGGCAGGCAGTTCTTTGTGAGTTCAAGGCCAGCCTGGTCTACAAAGTATGTCCAGGACAGCCAAGGCTACATGGAGAAACCTTGTCTGAAGAAGAAGGAGAAAAAGAAGGAGAAGGAGAAGAAGAAGGAGAAGGAGGAGACAGAAAAATCTATTTTTAAACTAAAATAAAAACTAAGAGAAAATTAGCCATGCCTTAGTTTTCCCAATTCGAATACAGGGATGTCGGGGGTGGGGAACAAAACAAAAAACAAGAGATCATGGCACATCCAGTAGTTTCTAATACTCTTCTCCAATAAAAAGAACCAAAAAGCGCCAGGTGGTGGTGGTACACACCTTTAATACCAGTATTCTGGAGGCAGAGGCAGCAGATTCTGACTTCGAGGCCAACCTTGATCTACAGAGTGAGTTCTAGGACAGCCAAAGCTCCATTGAGAAACCCTGTCTCAAAAACACCAAAAAGGAGAGAGAGAGAACCAAGAGGCGATGAGTATGGGACAGGAAATACACAAGGTAAATCTGGAATATCTTGAGGCAACAGACAATTTAAAGGCACCTTTAAAAATATGACAGGGAAAAAAAAAAAAAAAAGATCCAAATGAAGCATCTCCCAGTGCTCAAGGACCCATACAGGAAACTGAACAAGCAAAGTTGATACATGGAGGTTGCAAACAGGGATTTCCCCAAAACTGTCCTACAGAATAAGAAAGAAATTGCCAACTCACTGTACAAAGCCAGCATCATCCAGCACCACCAAAACTGGATTGGAGCACAGAGCAAATAAAAGAAAGAAATCTATAGACCAACCTCCCTGGTGAACACACAAGCAAGAATTCTCCACAAAGTCCTTGCAAACCGAATTCAAGAATGTTAAGATCACATATCATGACAAGTTAGTCTTAGTAGTTCGGTAAACACAAACCAGTGAATGCGATATGCGATACAGCATGTAAGTAGATCACGGTCATCTAAATCAATACTGAAAACCTCGCAACAAAGTTCACACTTTCAGCATAAAGGTCTGAGGAATCCAGGAGTGAAATAAAAAAAAAAAAAAAAAAAAAATGTCTCCCCATATACAAGTTAAATGCAACGAACCTACAGCTAACATTGTATCAAATGGAGAAGAACTGGATGTGTTGTCTCAAAACTCTGGAACAAAACGAGAATGTCCACTCCTTCCATTCCTATTTAGTGCAGTGCTGGAACATAAGAAAGACAAAAAGGATGCAGATATGAAAGAAAGAAGCCAAAATAGTGTTATCACACATGACTTGATTCTGCAAAAGACTCCACCAGAAAACTCTACCATCTGATACAGCACTTCTCAACCTCTGGGATGTGAATATCAAATATTTTCAATTCAGAACAGTAGCAAAATTACAGTTACAAAGTAGCAACAAAACAATGTTATGTTTGGGAGGGTCCCTACAACATGAGGAACTGTATCAAGGGTTTGCAGCTTTGGGAAGGTTGGGAACCACAGCTTTGATAAGTAATTTTAGCAAACATCAGGATATAAACATTAGTAGCTTGCCAGGCCGGATGGTACACACCTTTAATCCCAGCGCTCAAGAAAGAGAGGTAAGGAGGATCTCTGAGTCAGACACCAGCCTGCTCCATGTAGTGGGTTCTAGGCAAGCCAGGGCTACACACTAAGACTCTACCTTAAAAAGTAAATATTTTAAAAATTCAGCTCTTTATACACCAATGAAAAACTGGTGAAGAAAGAATTAAGAAAGAAAGAAAACCAGAATCGAAGAAGGGGAGAAAGGAAGGAAGGGCAGGCAAGCATTCACAGCAGTTAAAAAATACTTAGGAGTGGTGTGGCTGGATCTTGAGGAAGCGCTATTCCTAGTTGTCTGAGAAAGCACCAGATTGATTTCCAGAGTGGTTGTACAAGTTTACATTCCCACCAGCAATGGAGGAGGGTTCCCCTTTCTCCACAACCTCTCCAGCATGTGTTGTCACTTGAGTTTTTGATCTGGGCCATTCTGATGGGTGTAAAGTGAAATCTCAGGGTTGTTTTGACTTGTATTTCCCTAATGGCTAGTGACTGTTGAACATTTCTTTAAGTGTTTCTCTGCTATTCGATATTCCTCTATCGAGAATTCTCTGTTTAACTCTATTCCTCGTTTTTTTTTATTTTTTATTAATTACACTTTATTCATTTTGTATCCCCCCATAAGCCCCTCCCTCCTCCCCTCCTGATCCCACCCTCCCTCCCCTTTCTGCATGCATGCCACTCCCCAAGTCCACTGATAGGGGAGGTTCTCCTCTCCTTTCTGATCTTAGTCTATCAGTTCTCATCAAAAGTGACTGCATTGTATTCCCCGTTTTTTAATTGGATTACTTGATTAGTTGCTTTTCAACTTCTTTAGTTCTTTATATATACTGGATATTAGCCCTCTGTCAGATAGAGGGTTAGTGAAGATTCTTTCCCAATCTGTAGGCATTCATTTTGTTTTGATGACAGTGGGAGCAGCCTTACCAGGCCACAGAGGAAGACCTCCCCAGTCAGTGGATTTGGGGAGGGGCATGCGTGGAGAAGGGGGAGGGAAGGTGGGATTGGGAGGGGAGGAGAGAGGGGTTTATGGGGGGGATACAAAGTGAATAAAATGTAACTAATAAAAATTAAAATTAAAAAATACTTTAAAAAATAAACAACACAGTTTAAAAAAAAAAGCTAGGAATAAATTTAATTAAGGACAATGAAAACTTTGAAACACCAAATAAACAGATGATTAAGAGATTTGAATATGGAAAGCTATCTCATGCTCATAGATTAGCAGCGATAATATTGCAAAAATGATTAGGCTATCCCCAATATTAATGCAAATTTTCACCAAAATTCAACTGACATTCTTCACAGAATGAAAACAAAGCAAAAGTTTTAATGTTCATGCAAGCATCAAAAGCCCCATATAACCAATGCAAAAAAGGAAAATACAGGAGGCATCACAGTATCTGATCTCAAACTATAGTACAAAGCTAAAGTAACAAAAATAGTATGGTGTTGACTCAAAACTAATCCCACAACAGCTACAGCCAAGTAGTCTTTGACAAAGTTGTCAAAAATATACATTTCAAAAAAAATTTTTTTTAAAGAGCTTCTTCCACAAATGATGCTTGGAAAACTGGATGTCCTCATGGATGAAATTAGGTCTTTATGTGTCACCCACACAAAAATCAACCCCAAACAGATCAAAGGCCTTAATGTAAGATTTGAAACTGCTAGAGGAAAACTTATGCAAAATGCTCTGATACAATGCTGGAGTTAGGAAGATAAAGAGCTTAAGGTCAGCCTCAGCTACATCCATACCAAGTTCAAGGTAAGTCTAGCTATATGAGACTTTGTCTCAAAGGAAAAATGTTAATGAAAATATGGGGGGGGGGCTGTCTATAATGGATTCCAATAGCAGAAATATTCCCAAGAATTTACAGATAGGATGCATTTGCATAAAATTAAAAAGCTCCTGCACTCCAAAGTAAACAACTACCAGTGAGAAGAGACAGCCTAACAAACAGAAAAGTCTCTTCGGCAGCTACACCTTAGAAAGGAGATTAGTAATCTAGAATGCATAAAAATTTGCAAACATTACATACCGAAAGCCCAAATTATCCAACCAATCAATGGGCTAATGAATAGAACAGGCCGTTTTCAAAGGAAGAAATATAAGTGGCCAAAAACTAATTGAAAAGGTGTTCAATATCCTTAAAGATCAGAAGAATGCAATTTTACGTGCTCTGCATTGCTTCTCACCCAAATGCTGACAATGGCATGGCAGAAGAGAGAAACTGGACAGGACTGAAACTCGGGCTGTCACTTTGGAAATCCTGCTGTAGGTGACCGTCCTCCCTGGAATCGACTGCAGACTGCAGTCTCCGGCATGGCCACTGGCGGAAGTTCATCCTAGCTGGGCTTGCTTGCTCCTGCCAGCCCTCACGGCGCTTGGGGGTGGGGGGGTAGGGAGGCCTCAAAACCCCTCACCTGAGTGTCCAGACACTCCCTACCACCTGTTGTAGGTAATTAATTATCTCCCTTAATTACATGTGGCCTCGGGGAGAGCCTAGACTATATGGGAGGAGTTAGCTCCTTCTATGAGACTATGGCGAAGCCCTCATCCCTTCTGGGTAAAGGCTTTTCAGGTGTGGCCTGCTGGGGAAGGGTACCCACAACCTCACACCCTATGCTCTGTAAGGAAGGCCAATGGTTCTCCACTGTTACTTGGGCACAATAGTTGCTAGATTTGTGGCTGGGACCTTCGAAGAGGTAGAAATTGCTTTTCTCTCTCCTGAGAAGGAACTTTAGCAATGAATCAGTGTGGATGTTAGATAGATAGATAGATAGATAGATAGATAGATAGATAGATAGATAGATAGATAGATAAAACTACCACATGATCCAGAAATGCCTCTCCAGGGTACACGCCCAAAAGCTCTGAGGTATCTGATATCTTAACACCCAGATACTGCTACATTATTACAGTAGTCAGGGTATGGGTCCAAACTAGATAGCCATCAAAAATGAAAGGATAAAGAAAATGTGGTATTGACACAATGGAATTGTATATAGCTACAAATAAAATTATGGCTTTTATAGGAAAATGAAGACAAATACTGCATGTGTCCTCTTATATGCAGGATCAGATTGTGTGTGTGTGTGTATGTGTGTGTGTGTGTGTGTGTGTGTGTGTGTTATAGAAAGAGAAGTGTAAATGGCTTAATGGGAGAAGGGCAGGGAAGGGGGGTAATGGAATACATGTGAGGTGAAAGGCAAAACCAGGAAAGAAGGGAACACCTAAAGTTGGTACAGGATATGGGAGAGAGCAAAGAAAGAGGGGGATAAGGAAAAACTATAAGAGGGCTGGAGGGATGACTCAGAGGTTAAGAACACTGGCTGCTCTTCAAAGGTCCTGAGTTCTATTCCCAGTCAACCATATGGTAGCTCACAACCATCTATAATGAGATCTGGTGCCCTCTTCTGGTGTGCAGACACACATACAGGCAGAATATTGTATAAATAAATAATACATTTTTAAAAAGGAGAAGAAACAATAAGAACATATATGTATGAAAATGCCATGATGAAATCATGACTTTATACATTAACTTTACTTTTCAAATACAAATCAAACAAAAAAAATGTGTGGGTAGGTGTGAGTATGTGTGTGGGTGACAAAAAAAAAAATCAGCAGGGCTGGAGACATGACTCAGAGGGTAAGAGCACTGGCCGCTTTTCTGGAGGATCCATGTTAATTTCCCAGCAAAAGGCACCACCAGGCATCTGTGTGGTACTCAGACATACATGCAAACAAAATATCTATATACATGAGATGATTTTTTAAAAATTAACAAAGGATTTCGAGAGAGAAGGAAGTGGCCTAAAGAGAGGGCAGATAAAAGAGCAAGAAGAGAGCAATCGAATATGTGTATATATAGAAAGAACGTATATACATATATATCATGAAAATAGAAAGAGGGAGCATTTGGAAAAGGGGGAAATCAGCAAGAGGGGAATGAGGAAAAAGCAGTGAGAGAGCAACTAAGAATAAAGTACAGTAACACTGTGAAGATGTCACAGTAAAATTGTTTCCTTGTATGTGAACCGAAAGCTCATTCAAAATAATTTTTAAAGAAGAGTAATTTCACAGTGGAGAAACCTGGCGTAAGTGGCCAGAATGAGATAATCAAAACAAATGAAAGGCTAGATCAAAATTTGGTTGCACTTGACTGGATAGGCTGAAATAGGCTGATAGAATGTCCTGAGCAAAGACGCACAAACTGAAACACAAGCAAGAGGAGGCAACAGACAAAGTCAGGCACAGCCCATGCTACAGTTTGCCTGTTTGCTTTTTTTTTTTTTTTTTTCCTTAAGTAGATTTATTTTTCCAAAAACGATGGGGAAATTTCCAGATTGAAGAAAACTGCAGAAATACAACTAAATGCAATCTATGCTGCTCATATTGGGACAAATGATAAAGTCATTAGAAGGTAATGAATAGCACGATTAATTTCTTGATTCTTTCAGACTGTGTAGGTAAAATAGGAACTCCTACCCATCACCCTTTTAGTGAGAAATAGCCACTCAAGTATTCCAGGGTGATAGGTCATTAGGTTGAAATTTTACTCTCAAATAATCCAGAGAGAAAGAAGGTCATTTCATACTAGTGGCAATGTTTCTATTAATTTGAGATAGATTGTTTAAAAATACACACACACCTATATGCATTCAAAGATCTAACAGTCTAACCACAACTTAACCCTCAGCCTTATTTAATCAGGCCCTTAACTTGGTTTAAAGATCTTTTGAAGGGTCCTTCGCTGCCTCAACCTCCACCAAACGCAATTCTTTGGTTCTGCAAGGTTCATGGCAACCCTCCACAAGGTTCCTGAGGCCTTTTCTGGCCTCTCCAGAGGACATTAGTTCCTCTTCTTTATTATGAGGCGCTTTATGAGGCGCTTTAATGATATGTGTCATTTTCAAATATTTCAATAAATATTTGAAGACTGGGTCCATGGGCACTCTTCTTAGATCCATCCCAAAACCTACGCAACCTAGAACTCTGCATGTCACAGTATGTGTGTTTTTTTTCTGCCCAGGACATTATATATATATTCATATATATATATATGAATTCTTTGTTACATTTCTTAAAAGAGAAATTTCAACATTATAATTGATTTTAAAGATTGTTGTTAGAACACCGATATTCTTGAAAGCTCTTGCTGTAAGTGGTCTGTGGCATAGCAGCCCCAGGATGTTTTCATCATATTTACCATTGAATATTTTCCCTTCCTCACTGGGTGGAATGTCTGTAATTCTTCCCTTTCAAGCAATCTTACAGCAAGCAGAAAACTGATCCCCTCAAACATGTCCATGTCCTAGTCCCAAGAACTGGTGAAAATGTTAGCTTACACTGCAGAGAAGCTGTAAGGCTGCAAACTGAATTCAGGACGCTGATCCTCTGTCTGGGAAATACAGGGGTAAAGGGTCTGGAGAGGTGGCTCAGGGCTAGAGTGCTTGCTGGGTAAGCACCGGTACTGCCCATCTTGCCCCCCCCCACACACACACACAGAAAGCTGTGATGGCATCCTGTCACTGCTCAGCCAGTCCGGCCAATCAGTGAGCTCCATTGAGAGACCCTAACCCAGAAATTAAGGTAGAGCAATATAGAAGATAACAGCAGATTTCCACCTCTGTCCTTCACAGGTGCACGCTTGGGTATCTACACACATACATACAGACACAAAAACAAATAAAATACGGAGATCATCCTGCAGTGTGGGAGAAAACAACAAAATCCAGAAGGTCCTTTTGAGGAAAAGAGGGGACAACGCAAGAGTCAGACTGAGATATGAGGCAGAAACCTGATCAGAGAAGCGATGCTGATGCTAACTTTGAAGATGGGAGAAGGAATAAGCCAAGGGAAAAGGGCAGAGTCCAGAGTCCGAAGGGCGTTCATCCGAAGAGCTTCCAGAACAGGAGACAGCTTTGACAGCTCCTTTGCTTTACCGGGCAGGACCTGCAGACCTCTACAACTGCACGCGCGCACACACGCACACACACACACACACACACACACACAACTATAAGCAAATCTAGTTTTAAAATTATTCTAAAAATAAATATTTTTAAATGAAAAGTGTGTGCACGCAAGCACGTGTGTGTAGAAGCCACCAAGGACACCCAACTTATTACTACGGTAAACAAACAAACCAACACACCCATCATTTCATTTTCCTGACTATACTTACGTCACCAGGGTGAGCCACACACAGTGCCTGGCAGAACAGAAAAAAGAAAGAAAGCATACTGTAGACATGTTGTATACATTATAGCAGAGAAATGTGTCAAATGATGGATACAATTTTAACCATTAAAATACAATCCTGATTGTATTTCTTTTACAATGTTTCAATCAAAGGACATTTTAATGAATAAAATACAGTTAAGTGGTCTACCTGGGTGTGGTGGCACAGGTCCTCAACATGAGGAACAAGAGTTTAAGGCCAGCACAATGTAAACAGAAAGCGACTGTCTCAACAGTTTTGTTTTTGTTGGTTTGTTTTGTCGAGACAGTAAAGAAAGCTGAAAAAGCAAAAAGTCATCTGATTGATTCAAAGTTACTTTCTTTGCAAGTCAGGACCAGGGAAACTAAAACAGAGAAACTGGCTGGTTGGTGAATGTCCAAGCGCTTCTTGTGGGGATTAGAGCAGAGGTGATTTCATTGCTCAGTGGAACCCGCTGCTTTCCCTCCTAGTTGGACAGGGCACAAGAAAAGTTCCCTTCAGGGGCACACAAGTTAGCACGGTGCCTCCGGTACACGAATCCTCTTAGCCCATTCCAGTGGCCTCCTATAACTCTTATTAAATATTCTCCTTTCAACATCTGCTTCCAAAACAAAATTAAAAAAAAAAATCTTACATATACTGAAAAAGTAAGGCGTGACTACAGAACTCAGCGGCTGCCAAGGAAAAACGAACCGTCTTCTTGAGAAATTCATTTTACTAAGAACATTCTGGAGCCGTCCCAATCAATGACAGTAAGTTTCCTTTTCCCAGGCAGGCGGAGCACCGCAGGGCCGCAGCGCCGGGGCTGGAGTCCCCAGGCAGCGCGTGGGGGGCCCTGAGACCTGAGAAGCGGGGCTGGATGGGGCCGCCCCCCACCCCCACCCCCCAGCAGGGTGGAGCATCCCTGACCGCGGGTGGCCGGACCCGGACCGTCCGCTGGGAACCGCACTCACCTGCTCCCGGAAGCGGGCGCCTTAAAACCGAACTCCAACTCCAAAGCCTCTGCGGAGGGCAGCGCTTGGTGACGGGCAAGGCTTTCGCTTTCGGTTATTTTGAAAACCGGATGCTTCTGTTTCGTGTCCTGCGGACTTCGTCCGGGGCGCCTTTGCTGATGTTTCTGTGTAGGCGGCGGTAAATTGAAGAGCTAAATGCTTTGAAAAGTTTATTTTTATGTGTGCATTACATGGAACGCACTGTTCCGTGTAAAGCTGGATAAAAACGGAAGTCGAGGCAGAACTCTCTATTATCCAAATCCTAACTCCCACCGAAATTTCCTAGACGGTTATAAAGTTTGACGCCAGCACAGGATGGACCATAAACCGGGAAAGCTGTTTCCTGGGTTGGTTTTTAATGACTCTTCAAAAAGTTTTCTTCTGTTCTTTATTTTTGTTGAAAAGATTCTGTTAGCAAAGGCTTTTCTAAACGTGAGCTTTTCCTTTACTAGAAAAATACCCGGCTTCTATCAAGAACGGTGGTGTCCCCTAACCTACACCAAGAATCACAGTTGGAAGGCACAAAAGCACAGAGCTGTGGAAGACAGCAAAAAGATCTCGGTGCCTTCTAGGTTGTGACGCCCTATATCCGGGTACAGTAACCAACAGCTCCATCTAAAATGACACATTTGACCCAGTTTACAGTGACACCAGAACTAGTGGGACCTTGTCTAAAGGGGGGGGAGGGGCTTCTTTTGTGTTGTCAGAAAATACAGAAAATACAAACGGTGTATTACTTAGGTTGTCTTCGGAATTTTAGCGGAAGCATGAATATATTAATGAGGCCATTGGTTTTGGACTATGTTTGTACATTACGCGAGCAGATCAAAGCAAAAGGAAAGTCGCTCATGCTGAAATCCCAGGTTGCAAAAAAAATAAAGTTATCCTTCCAAGAAATCAGATGAGAGGTTACGTACGACCAAATCCCTAAAGAAGCCCGTTTTACACAGCAGAATAATAGCTTTGACCTTTACAACACAAAGACTTTAAAGCAGCCTTTTGGGAGCCAGTGAGATGGCTGAGTGATTAAGTGCACTTGTTTCTCTGCAGAGAAACTGGGTTCTATTCCCAGCCGTGGGAAGATGAACACCCTCTTCTGGCCTCTGTGGGCAGAGAAGTGATAACAGAGAGGAGCAGCCGAAACACTCAGACACATTAAATCAAAGTAAACCTAAAAACGTGGATTTTTTAGCAGCCTTTTTTTTGGGGGGGGGGATTTACATTCTTCAGACACCCCCTCATCTTTTTGATCTTCCCAAGTCGCCTGAATAATCTGATTCTAGAATCACAAATTTAAAAGTCAACTTGGTTTTTAAATTAAATTTGTTGTAATTTTTGTCTTTTGGTTATTAATTGGTTCAGTGTTGCAGGATATTTGATCCCATTGTGAACCCCAAAATCGTGAACTATAAAACCCTGTTTATTGTTTGGTTTGGTTGAGCCCTAACGTACACCTTTAATCCAAGAGCTCTCTGTATACTGGATCTAATAAAGTTAACCCTAGGTCAAGAGACACAGCAAGAAACCAGCTGATAAGGAATAAAGAGTAAGAGGGACTTTGAGTTGAGGGACATTTAAGACAGCATGGAGAAGAAGGGGCTTTTAGCTCAAGCTCTGGCTTGAGCTTAGGCTTCAGCTCCTCAGCTCCCTGGCTTTTTGGACTTTGAACTAACAAGCCTTCAGCTTTGGGTTTTTTGGCCTTTTCTTCCTGGGCTGTCAGTTGTACTAGTAAGCCTTTTGGGTTTTTTCCATCCGGACCTGAGCTAAGAGAGACGGTCAGCTGGGTGCGTTCTCTGCCTCCCTGAGCTAGCCAATTTTCACCCAAGTACCTAGCTCCTGAGTCCTTATTGGTAAAATAGAACGACTGGGATTTTCCATCATTTAAACAACATTTCCGCATAATTTTTTTTCTCCTCTAATTTTATCTTTGTTTTTGGAGGGAGATACTAGGAGACTTAGGAATGGTTACAAAGAGCCAGGTAGTGGAGAACGCCTTTAATCCTAGCACTCGGGAGGCAGAGGCAGGCAGATCTCTGTGAGTTCCAGGGGCCCGACTGGTCTACAAAAAGAGTTCCAGGACAGCCAAGGCTACACAGAGAAACCCTTTCTCGAAAACAACAGGAACAACAAAAGGTTACAAAGGGCTGATCTAATACAGACTTAGAAGTATAGAGAGAGAAGAAGCTTTGAGAGAGAAACTTCCCTTTGGGGGAGAGACAGTGCCACCAGAGCTTCTGAAGAGTCCCTTCCCATTCTCCCTTCCCATTCTCCCCTCCCATTCTCCCCTCCCCTGGCAAAGTGGTAGAGCTAGAAATACAAACATGAGCGAGGCCACTGCATCTGGCTTTTTTTGTGTGGGTTTTGGGATGGAGCTAAGCCATCAAGCTTATCAGAAAAATGCTTTTCCCTGCTTAGGGATCGCTCTGGCCTCCTAACATTCTTTTGTTACTGTTTTGTTTTCTTTTTATCGATTTTTTTGTAACATACAAAGAACTGAATTTCAGTGACATTTTCATATCTGTATATAAAGTAAATATATGTGTAATATCTTTGTTCTTATTCTCCCTCTTTCTTCTCTTATCCCAGCCCCTTTCCCCCTCTTGCTCATCTCTTTCCTCCCACAAAATAACCTCCCAACTGCTTTTGTGATGGGTATACTGTTTTTCTATTTTTTGGGTTTGTTTGTTTGTTTGTTTGTTTGTTTAAGCTGGTCTAGAACTCACAGCCTTCCCCCTAGACATCTCTAGTGCTGGGATTCCAAGCACACCGCCAGGCCCAGATTCGAATCTTTCCTTGTAACGCTGTATCGTATGTTAACAGTTTGAATTCAACTTGACTTTGGCAGACACTCTGCAAAACATGGTCCATAACGATGGACACTCGGCCCTTGTACATAGCGATATTAGTTATTGTAGCTGCTAAGAGAAAAATTCTTGAGAATTTCATTGATCTTTTTATTTTGCCAACAACTGTGTGAGGTTTAAGTCTTATCTGCACTGTACAGTTGAAGGAAGCAAAGCATAAGGAAGTAAACAGAAAACAGGCGGGCACACATAGTGCCTGTAATAGCATACTCCTCCCTCAATGACAAGCCTGTGGCTCTGAATTGTATTCTCCGCTTAAAAGGGGATTCTGTTCGGATATAATTAGGAAATGCTACATGCTGGACATGTTTTTAGAGAATCACAATGTCCACCAGTGTACTGAGAGTCTGAGAGGTACTGCAGGGGAAAGCATTAAGCACACGTAACAATTTTTAACTTTAGGCCAGATGTCATGGTGCACACCTTTAACCCCAGGAAGCAGAAGCCAGAAGATCTCTGTGAGTTGGAGGCCAACCTGGTCTATATAGCAATTTCTAGGCCAGCCAGGGATACAGTGATTAATACAGGGATACAGGGCATAACTGTAACGATAATTTTACTTTACTCAACCTGGGATTTGTCAGACTAATATGGTCAATCTTTTATTTTTCAAGAAACAGGTATAGAAACCTTACATAACTTTTTATTTATTTATTTATTTTTGCACAGTGCTAATGATCAAACCCAGGGCCTTACCTATGCCAAACAAATTCTCTGCCACTGAACTACATCCCCAGCTCCAAAATCTTGGAGAATTTCTGATAGTGTTTAAGTATCCCTTGTCACATTCCACCAACTAATGTATAATTATCTGTCACTGTCTGTCAGGTACTCACTGAATACAACATCTGCAGCTTGGGTATCATAAAATACTCAATAAAATATAAATATTTAAATTAAAAATATCATAAAATGTCATAAAATCTCACAGACATAGATGTATATTCTGTAATACCTTTGTCTCACCAAACAGAGTGAACCCTCCCCATAGAGTCCATAACTCTGGTGGGCATGGGGGGTCCATACAGTGTAATGTGTGTTATTCAGAGGAGAGAGACAAGGAAATTGGTTTTTTTCAAGACTGTTTCTCTGTGTAGCCTTTGCTGTCCTGAACTTGCTTTGTAGACCAGGCTGGCCTCAAACTCACAGCGATCTGCCTCCCTAGTAGGGTTGTGGTCTATGGTAGAGGATTAAGTCAAGAGAGATTAACAAATAAGGTTAACACCCTTATAAAACTGGCCCCGAAGACTCTTGGCCCCTTTCACCATAAAAGGCAGTATCTATGAGCCAGGGAAAGCATTACCTACCTTCACTCCCTAACACTGAATCTCCTGTCACTTTGATCTTCAACTTCCAGGCTCCAAGACAATGAAGAATAAATTTCTATTGTTTATGAGAGCCACCAATGAGTGGCTCTCATTTTGTTAGATCAAATGAACTAAAGAACATGGAACATCTTAGAAAGCAACAAAATTCCAAGGAATTGCAAACCATGAGACAGGAACTTGACACCCATCATTGAATGTCTTCCTTTCAGAAAAGATCTAGCATAGCCAAGAATATGGGTGTTTGGCAGGTCACATGGTGATCCAGTTTGAGGTTCATTTTTGGGGGAGGTGGGCACTTAAGCTCATCCCTGTGCAAGTCCCTGAGGGATACAAAGTAAACTTGTAACATTGTTCTGGTTCTCAAGAGGTTAGCTACTGCAGTGTATATATGGTAAGGGAAATGCTTCATTCTGTCAGACAGGCAGAACCACGGAGATAAACTCATAGAATCACCGTCAGAGGTAGGTTTAAGTATCAGTTTTAATGGCTGAAGTTTCCCTGTCTCAATGTTCGCATCTGTAAAATGGAGCTCAGGAGTAAAATAAAGCTTGTGGTCAGAGGACTCAGCACAACCCCCTATCTATGGCAAGCCTCGATAGCTGACAGCTATTACCAGGTGATTCTTTTCCTAGACGTAATATTTTTATTGTTTTTGAAATTTTCATACAGGCATGCAATGCAGTCCCCCTCCAACTCCTTCACCTAATTCTTCCCAAACCTACTCTCATTTTCATGTTCTCTCTCCTCTTTTGTTATAGCTCACTGGTTCAAATTTTTGCTGCCCATATACTTAAGGACACATACTCACTAGAGTTCAACCTACCAGTGGTCATAGGCTTAAAGAAAACTGACTCTTCTCCCTCAGAAGCCATCAACATCATATTACCTTTATTATTCCCTCCACACCCTCTTTTAGACAGGGTCTCACTGTGTGGCCTTGGCTGGGCTAGAACTCCACCAGGAGACAGGGGAGCTCACAGACTCACCTGCCTCTGCCTCCCGCTTGCTGGGATTAAAGGTATGCACCACCATACCTTGTTGTTGGTTTTGTGAGAGGAAGTGTTAT